TGTTGAGAGATACCCCATCCTTGTACAAAAAAGAGGAGCCATCTTTCGAAGTTTCTTTAGGTTAGGGAAGGGAGGTCAGTGATGGAGGCACAGAGGAGACAGCAAAAACTTTGAAGACAAGATGAAATTTTGATGCAACAATGACGACGACGACGACAACATTTTCTTTGCTCAAAAGAGAAGAGGAAATGAAAGCATAGCAATAGCAAACAGCAACATACTACTGTAACAAAAATAATCATGCTTTTGTTTTGTGTCCTGATGAATTTCTGGTTGGCAATGGTATATCCGGGAAGAATCGTATTGTTGGATTTTGTTGTGTTCTGTGTGTGCGCAGCGGTAAAAAGGGTGCAAATACGTTTTGAGGGAAAAAAAGGGGACCGGATTTTTGGTCATTTTGCAGTGTCCTGCTACTACCATAACTACTCCAATCTCCATACTTTAGATTTAGGACTCCCTCCAATACAACGACATATACAGATTTCCTGGAACGCTGGTTACGCTTACATTCGGGATAGTTTGTAGTTGAATATATTGTGGGTAACCCGGATGAATGCATGAAACGATCCAAACTGTTGAAAGGAGCCTATGGGCAATAGCAAAGGAGTCAGGGATATCCCATCAGTGTACAAGACGGAGGATTCATCTTTCAAAGGTTCTTCAGGTATGGGAAGAGAGAGCTGCGGTGGCAGCACAAAGGAGGCACAAGAGGGAAGACACGATCAAAATTTGATGCGGTGACGACGACATCCTCTTTGCTCAAAAGGGACAATAACATCAAGGCATAGCACTACTGTAGCAGTAACAAAGTATTACGAAACGAATCACACTTTTTGTGTATTGTATTGGATTGTCGTCTCACATGTACCGGTACAGTGGAATGCGTCAACTGTTTGATCCTTCAGTTTAGTTTTGTTATTGTGCGGGAAAAGAGGGGAAATTGGAAATTGGGTGCAGATATTAATATGTGCAACTACATTTTGAGGGGGGAAAAGGTGGGAATGGTAGACTGGCGCAGTAACACAATTTGGAGTGCTCGGCTAGTAGCGGCCCTATCGCGACAGTCGTAAGATATTGGAGTTTTTATTTATTGATCGATCGCTATCAATACAGCGTTGAGTGTCGCCAACTCGTGCTGCCCCCGGTTCACCTCCTTTCGTCGTCAAGGAGTTTTCTTCGGAACCAAGGGATCCGAATCTTTCAACTGGTCGAACAGCTTCTGTGGTGGAAGTCCCGCTTGAAAGGTTCACCTTCCCTCGCGAAGTAAAACGCCGGACCTACACCAGACGCCCCAGGAACGAACTTTTGTTGTGCAAGCAATTGATTCAGGCGCGTCTGCTTTTCCTTTTTCTACTTTGGGATTGCATCGGTTCCAGTCCAACGTTAGGACCGTCCTCAGACTCAGGGCGTACACAAATTAGAGTTCGCAGGGTCATCCTACCTGTAGTAGACTTGTTTGCTTGCATTCACCAGGGGTTCTAACTCGCTACTCCGGGCAAGTCAAGTCGCCGGTCCTCCGTGCTGTGTCCCTTCCTACCTATCAGCTTGGCCGGTGACCAAGGATTGTTCCTGTGCTCAGCTTCTCACAGGATAGGGGGGTTAATCGATCTATAGCAAAGGTCGCCTCTGACTTATTATAGTTTTAGCGTCCTACCATGAGCACCGAACGTGACCTACGAGCCCAACGTCGGGAACAAACTCGCGAGCAGCGTCCAACCTTGTCAAGAGGAGGATCTGTATCCTCTCGATCATCTCATGCGTCCTTAGGTTTGGGGTTTCATTCACCCATCCAACCATCAACAACCCGCCACCGTCCTCCTGGTCATTGTCCAGAGAGTCTGGAACACATCCTGGTTGAGGTTCTCGATCTCCCTCCAGATGGTATTCTTGCTCAAGCATTGAAGCATGCAAAAATTACTTGCTTCATTGACCTCATGGCTATGACCGATGTGGCGATTGACTCTCTTGTTTATCCAAGAAGTCAAACACCTGATGATGAAGGCGATTTCCAAGATGATCAACTTGCCCTGGTACCACTGTCCATTCGCAGTCTCATCAAGGTCATCCAAGGATACGTTTACTACCGCAAACATGTCCATAATGATCCTGTCAACCCTGACAACTGCATGGATATTGACTATGGAAGTGTACTTGACTATAGGGCTTCTGGAGAGTTCTTAACTTTTGGTAATAGAACTATTCCACAACCTATTATCCAGAAACCCAGTCGTCGTACCCCTGCTGATGAATTCGATAGAAGCATCAGACGAGACCCGTCGTCTTTCCCTACTTTTAGCAATGATAAGCAATGGGAAAACTACAATCGTAACCTCGCAGCCATCTGTCGCACTTACGGTCTACAAAATGTCCTTAATCACAAGTACCGCCCACAAACTGTTGATGAAAAGGACCTCTTTGACCGTCAGCAGGCGTTCATGTATCAAGTCTTTACCACGACTCTCCTCACCGATAAAGGCAAGCAATTTGTTCGTGAGCATCAAGCAACCTTCGATGCGCAGACAATTTACAATCAACTTGCTAAAGCCTACACTAAGTCTGTTAAAGCTGATGCCACCGCTACTGGACTTCTACGATGGATTATGACCGCTAGGCTTGATGATTCATGGCGCAACACACATGAATCATTCATCATCCATTGGCAAGAACAAGTACGCAAATACCACACCTTGGCAGACATTAGTCAAAGGATGCCAGAAACCCAGCAACACCTGCTACTCGAACAAGCCCTTATTGCTGTCCCTTATCTCGATGAGATTCAGAGACTATCTAGGATTCTTGAGATGCAAACGGGCAAGGCAATCATTTTTGATGACTATGTCACCCTGGTGGAATCTGCAGCCCAAAGTTACGACACTCGCCAAGACTCCAAGACTAAGCCTAAAAATAACCCTAGTAGAGATATCTACTTTACTGATGTTCGTTCCGGCTTTGAGGATGACAACCTCCCTATGGAATTTAACATTGATACTGATATTGGGGAATACCAAGCCTACCGCTCATCCTTCACTCCTGGCCGCCGCCCCCGCCTTCCACAGGCCCAATGGAGTCAATTGGATGATGAGGCTCGTCGCCATTGGCAACAGCTTCCTGATAAAGCAAAGGCCATTATTCTTGGAGCATCTTCTGATCCCGCACGACCGCCACCACCTCCACCCCCACCTCCGCCACCGCGCCGTTCGGTCAATCTTCATGACATCTCGGCTGCTGAACTCCTCGACCACTTGCAGGATGCGAGCATGGGGAGTGCTTCTGGTGCTCTTCCTCCTGAAGTGGTTGACACCGCCAGAGACAGCATCCTAGCGCATGTTACTGAACGTCAATCTCTCAAACCTGGAGACATAAAGCGTTTGATGTCGGATAAGCTTGCCGATGTGCCCTCCAAACCCAAAGGCAAGCAGGAAGCCAAGCAACACGAGATCGTGATAGATGGTAAAACGTATCGATCTGTCAATACAGCTACTATCCGTTACTTAGTTACCAATCATATCAACACTCGTAAGAAGCAACTAGGTCTCTGTGATCGAGGAGCCAATGGTGGAATTGCTGGTTATGATGTCATCATCCTGTCAAAGACAAACCGTTCTGTTGATGTCCAAGGCATAGATAACCATCAAGTGACGGATGTGTCCATTGTAACTTCAGCTGGATACACTGACACACAGCGCGGTCCTGCTATTTTGATCATGAACCAGTTTGCATCTATCGGTAAAGGGCAGTCCATCCTCTCCAGCCCACAGATGGAGCATTTTGGCGTTGAGGTAGACGACCGATCATCCAAGGTAGGAGGCAAACAGCGACTCTCTACCCCAGATGGTTGGGTCATTCCTATGGAGATTGTCAATGGACTTCCATACGTCCGTATGAGACCACCGACAAAACGTGAACTTGATACACTACCACACATTGTCTTAACTTCTGACAAGGACTGGGATCCTAGTGTACTGGATTCCAAGTTGGAAGACTTTGAGAAATGGACCGAATCCATCCCTGATGATGGATCTGAAGAAGGCAAGAGACCATTTGATCGAGTCGGTATCCTTAAGAGTAATCAGACTGTCACTACTCTCAAGGATGAATCCCTATTGGACCAGGCTATTGATTTCTTTGAATCGTTTGACTACGTTGCACCAACTGACGGACTATACGAGGTTTACGAACGTCCAGATACTGATACGGATTGGTTTGGCTGTAATATGGCCGACTTATTCTGTTCAGATTCTTACTTTGATGACCCTCCAATCCCGGCAGCATTCGAAGTCAATCAGTCATATAGGCGACCGAGTGTTCTATTTGCTCCTGAAGCTCCCATTGATTTTGACATTGAAACAGGACCATTGCTTGCCAAAGATGATTTTCAAGCTCTTGCACCTGGTTTACCAAAGGATATGCTTACTATTAACGTACCTCCTACACCAAGGCGCAATCCAAGACGGAAGACTCGTTATAGTCATGGTAATCGCAATGGGGAGAGAACTGATAATGGCCCTCCCCCACGAACCGAGCAAGCACACGAGCCTCTGCCACCTACTACTACGGAGTATAAGAATCCGAGCTCTGCCGTGAAGTCTCATGAACGCGATTGGGAGCGACTGCGACGATACTTTGCATGGTTGCCTAAGCTCGTAATTCAGAAAACTTTCGACTGTACAACTCAGTTGGCTCGCATTCCCATGAGTGCCCACCTTCAACGTCACTACCGTTCACCGTTCCCAGCGCTTAATGTCAACAGACGTAATGAAGGTTTAGCCACCGATACCGTCTATGCTG